CAGTATATTTTTCACATTCTCTCAATCTCTGCTTATTTTTGGCTGACATGTCCCTCTCGACTCTAAATTGCTCTGCTAAATAATTTAAAATGGATTATATCAGAAAACTTCCAGCCAGTGTCAGGATTCTGAATAAATGCTTGGTTCAGGATATTTTCAATATTACTTTTTCAGGCAGGGGAATGCCCTGCTATTAGGAAGTGCCAAATAAAAGTAAAAAAAAAAAAATCCCATAGGTTATTGGAATAGATGGATGCATGCTTTTATTGTCAATTTAATGTAATTAAATATGATGTTGTATAACACTCTCAATAACTTCTAATAATTTTTGTAATAGAGTTTTAGACTCCCACTGAATTTTTTAATAGCTATAACATAAGGGTGCCAATTTTTGCGTAGCATATGTTACATCCATTCAGAGACCTGCCTCCCCATGCTTGCAAAGACTTATAGAGCTGCAAACGAAGCAAAAACACCTAACATAATCATTAGTCTGTAAACGCTCACAGACCAGTAATTAGAGTATATGTAAACCTTAAGAATGAACATCTTTTATTCACTCTCTTTTGATCTGTTAAAAATACCATTGAAAGCATTTTGTTATACCTGGGTGATATGTGCAAAAAATACATGTTGATCCTACCAGAAATCTTAACTTCATTTGCTGTTTAAATGTGTGGCAGTCTTTATCAGGCACATTGCTAACCTCTCCCTTATATTACTGAGAAGAGGAGAGGAGGAGTTTTAGTCTGTAGTCCTGTCCTACAGTGACTTCACTGATACTCTGTAGTCACAGTATAGTGAATGAGCGTTGTCACCCTAGGACAGGAAGTGTTACTGGCAGGATCACCAGGTGATAAAAAGGAAAAACAGCCTAAAAAAAATATACTAAAAATACTAATGCAGACACCACATTGAAATACTTGGAAGCTGCAATATAGCAAATATTGTTTCTTGTGTAGATACACATTAATCAAAGGCAGTCTTTTTTTTTCCTCCAAATACAAAGGCAGTCACTTTTAAAGGAAAACTCTAGTTTTGCTATAAAAAATAATATATCCCAGTTGATGGGATAGGAAAGACAGGGGTAGGAAAGAAAGATCTGTGTAAGTTCTAAAACAACTTGATGGAGCTTACACCGAGCTATGCACTACTTCCTCAATCTCATGTGACAGTTCTGTCACATGAGAGGAGGAAGTCACATTGTCACTCCTACCTGGCGAATGGATGTAAAAAAGGTGTGTGTGGGTATATGCTGCTGGGGGTTGTTAAAGTAGTAGTAAAGGCTGAAGGTTTTTTTTACCTTCGTGCATTCTAAGGTAAAAAATATATGCACTGCTCCTCCCACCAACTCCCCTAATACTCACCTGAGCCCAATCTCTATCCAGCAATGTGCATGGGAGCCTCGGCTGTCCCAGGTCACTCTCTCCTCATTAGCAAAGAAACAGCAGTCAATCACAGCCAGTGAGCCAATGAGGAGAGAACGGGGGGCAGGGCTGAAACACGGTTCTATGTGTCTATTGGATGCATCGGACTAGGCTCTGGAGCAAACACACACACATGCGTCCATAGCAAATGGCTTGCTATTGCGGGGGCACTAGTCAAGGGGGAGGAGCCAGGAGTGCCAGCAGAGGACCCAAGAAGAAGAGAATTGGGACTGCTCTGTGCAAAACTGCTGCACAGAGCAGGTAAGTGTGAGATGTTTGTTATTTTACAAAATACAACAAAACAAAGCTTTTTATCAGTCTAAAAGACCTGTGCTATTTTTATATATATATATATATATATATATATATATATGTATATAAAATCCAGTGGTTGCTTACTGCACACATATCCAGAGAAAATGGGTCTATGTACTCAGCATGGCATGAGACAGATATAATCCAAAAGATAAGGTGGTACACAGAGTTTGAAAGGTGAGAACTTATCCCTGGTTCACAGTATTGCAACCTGTGGTCTGTGTGTAGGCAGCTCATTCATTTCAATGGGTTGCCCTACTCATAGAAACGCAAGAAAAGAAGTCCCTGACCCTTTTTTTTTTAAAAACGCACTGCGCCGTATAGTGTTGTGGCACCATGTGGTTTGGCGCACACGAAACTGCACCACTTCTGCTGATTAACAATTATTGGCACCCCTTTGCATCTGCTAAAGAGCAGCATGTTTGCCTGTGGGTCGGCAATGAGAGTGATTTTGAGTGCATTCCCAACCCACAATAATATGTAGCTAGGCTGAGTGATATGGAAATAAGCCTTATCAATGAGTGTTCACATTTCAAGCCCTCTGAGTGCCGCCTTATCTTTTATATACATATATTTTGTGAACATGCAGATATCACAAGGGCACCAAAATGAAATGTACACTATACCTGATGTAAAAATAATTTCAAATATAAAATAAGAAAATAAGATTTCAGGAGCAATAATATAAATAACTGAAGTAGATCCATTTATGTGAAACTGCTTGTCTGGACCTCTTTCTCTCTCATTCTCAGTGTCTATTTCCATATACTGTATATGCTTTTATATATAGTAAGTAGGCCACTTCGTTGTTATATTCTACCATACACTGACATACATACAAGATCTAACACTTACAGAAAATGTAATATGACTGCACTGCTTTGGTATGACACTCAAACAATATAAACATAGCAGTGAATGTAGCATATATCCGATTGTAAAAGGTATTTAGCTGAGCCGCAGCAAGTGCTCCCACAAAGAGAGGTATTTTACTGCTGTTTACCCAGTGAGGTATACCATGCTGCATTCAATCTCGCCCAGGGCGCCTGTCCTGAATTTACCGAATGGTCACCTTGCCTGATCTGTCCAGAGTCTGATTAATACATCCCATTCTTACTGTATGTTCTTGGGCTGTTTTAGCACAGCTCTCTAATTTACAGTCGGCTACACTCCGTTACTCAGCAAAACTGGCTATCAATCAGCTGGGTTCATGGAAACAGCTGTTCACAGTGAGACTGAATAGCGCGGTCAGTAAAGGCAGGAGTTTCTGAAAGAACACGGGGGTGACTGTGACATATTCTGTGCTGCAGGCTACAGACCTGAATTTAATACTGCATTTCTTTCAACACCGACCAGTGTTGCCAGAAGAGACAATAAATAGCTAACAATGCCATACAGGATGGAAGAATGGGAAACAAAACTAGCGTAATGACCCTATTTCTTTGGTTAATCAAACACTACATTCTTTTTAGCAGTACTTTGGGCGTGCAGTTGGTACAATTTAATTTCAACTGATGTTTTACAGCCCTGAAGACTAACCTGCAAGCCTTCTAGTACTTGTTGTGTGGTCCTTTGCAAACCCCAACAGTTGGCAGTTGGAGCTGGAGCATTAATAGGTAAAGGAACTGTAATGGCAGAAATGTCTAACAGTCTCATGTAACAATGACTTTCTAAAGTAACATGTCTTCAGTTCACACCTGTAGCATTTCTGCAGTTTCTGGACAACTTCTGAAGTATGTCTGCAGTCTTCTGTATCATTGCATATATTGAAAATTATATATGGCCCTTTGGCACAGTAAGGGGCCACAGTTGATGTGCCCTATACCTCATAAGTTTAAAACCTCTGTGTAAGGAATATATTCAAAAATGTAAGACTGGGCTCTAAACCAGTGTTTCTCAACCAGGGTGCTGCAGCACCCTGGGGTGTTCTTTCAGGTCCTCCAGGATGCCTCAAGAACAAACCCCAGTTTGCCTTGGAACAGAGATGGATGAGAGAACTTTATGTGATTTGGGATCTATAATGTATAGATGAGATTCTAGTGTGATGGGAAGACTCTAACGTGATGGGGGGGGGGGGGGGGGGGGGTGGGGGGGGGGGGGGGAGGGGGGGGGGGGGGGGGGGGGGGGGGGGGGGGGGGGGGCTCTGGCTCTGTGATGGATGGACTCTGATGTATAGAGGGAGCATTATTGTGTTGGGTGGACCCTGATGTGTAGGGAGAACATTATTGTGATGGGGTGACCCTAATATGTAGGGGGACCTCTGAAATTATAGGGGCCTCTGACATGAAGAGGCGACTCTAATATGATGGGGGACATTCAATGTGAAGGGGGGTTTTCAATGTGATGTTAACTTCATCAAGGTGCTTGAGTACATTGTCCCAAGCTTAGGTTTCCCAGTGATAAGTAACATTTATGTTTTTTATATTTTGGACTGGGGATACTTTTAAACCGCGTGTGTCGCAACTAAAAAAGGTTGAGAGACAACACCCTAGACATAAAAATATCCCAGCTAGGATGATGGATGGTGAGAAATCTGCTGGGATGTTGGGACCAGAGGAACCTTCTATCTAACTAACATGCAGATGCAGTGTACTTTTTGAAAATGCTGTTCCTTTTTGTTCATAAAAATGAAGAAATTGGTGGTTGTTTATATTAATAGCAGAAACCAACTCTTACAATAATGAGGGTTTCTGATGGATGGAAGCTCTTGGAATCACTCTTTTTTAACTCTACATTGTATAGTAGCACAGTGTGATCAAACTGGTCACAGTGCTGGTCTTAATATGGTGGTGTTTGTAACCCATAATTACAGCAGCAAATCCTAGTAGATCAAGATATTTCCACTGAGATATAGCTGATGCTGTAAAAGGCTTCCTTTGGATTTAGCTCCATTATTCCATATTTATGTCAGGTCTCACATTTTTCTGCAGCATTTTTTAAAGTAGAAATATTTCAAGGATCTCATTGTCAGGAAAGCAGACCAAGCTGTAGAGTAAATGTTATTATTTAAAAACCAGACAAGCAGACTGAAGAGAACAGGATGAAGTCGGCCACTGTCAATCTCTGTATGGAACTTACTTAAAGTTTATAAAATAAAAACAGGTCTGCATTGTAGCAGGGTAATGTGCGGTCTACAGTATAGCTGCAGCTGCACTGCCCCCTGTAGCTGTGAGATACCCTAGTAAACCTTCAGAGATGGCTCTTCAGAAATCTGTATGCATTTGTCCTATGTTTCCAATTTTTACTGGTATCACTTACCTTAATTCTTCACTGTCCATCAGTTTCTTGTAGGCTGTAATTTCTACATCTAATCCCATCTTCACTGCCAGGAGATCCTGATATTCTTGGCCATAGTGGGCAATTTGCTATGAGGAAGTAAGATAAAAAATAAGAATAAACTGGGACTGATTTGTACAGTAGCTTGTTTCCCTACTTTGCTGTATATGTTGAGGAGATTTCCCCTCATTTCTGTTCTGTAGGCATAACATAACATTTGAGGAACTCTCCACAATGGAGAAAACCTCTATTACAACATTGGCAGCATGGTGGCTAAGTGGTTAGCACTTCCACCTGGCAGGACTAGGGTTGTCAGTTCAAATCCCAACTATGGCACTCCGTGCATAGAATTTGCATGTTCTCCCTGCACCAGCAAGAGTATCCTCCCACACTCCATTGACATGCTGGTAGGTTGATTGGCTCAAATGTAAGTTAGGGACCTTAGATTGTACCCTCCTTGAGGGTTAGAGACTTATGTGAATGTACAATATATATGTAAAGTGTTGCGTAAATTGACAGACCTATGATAAAATAAATATTTAACAGTTGTCGCCTGAACTAGTGTTCCCATGAGAAGATCCCCCTTCTATTCCTGTTCTGATAATGGTTGAACATATTCTATATTTCATTGCTTTTTATTCACGTGACAGTGGTCACCAGAACAAGTGGGAAAGGTACGTTTTTCCAATGGAGACACATACAACAATAAAAACCTGATAATGATTCTAACTCTTCAGCACTTCTTTTTTTTTTTTTAAAGAATCTTTATTGGTTTTTGTTGTGTACATAATATCAACCAACGGTGAAATTCGCAAGTATAACATGGCAACATAACAATGCTGGCAATAATTCAAGTACGTCAACCAAAGCAAGGCTAATATTCTTCAAATAAGGACACTTATATAGCCCCAGAGATGAGAGGAACTATGTACATTGAGTTGTAGCGAAAGGTACCTATATAGGGAGAAGAAGGTTATGAAATGTAAGCTGTGGTGGGGGCCAAGCAGGAGGAGGTCAGAGGGTATGATAGTATGTGATGTCATATTTGTAGGTATTAGAATAGATATGTGTAGCCATATGTTGACCAATCGTCATTATGAACATTGAAGGTGATGATCATGTATGCGATTAACAGAAAGAAAAATAAGAAAATAAAATAGGGAAAGAGAAAGAGAAAAGTTAAAACCTAGGAACTGGGAGTATATGAGAAGAAAAGGAGATATAGTTAGAAGGGGAAAGAGAAAGACATAGTGATGCGTTCCCAGAGGCCAATAGTTATAGGACCGAGAAGCCATAGAAAAAGATAAAAGATTTGGGATGCAGCACAGCGTGATGTATTGTAGTGCAACCTTATGAGGGGTCTGAACAAATTGTTGGTGGGAAAGAGTAAGCACTGCTTTTAAATTAAAAATAAAGTCCTGGCTATAGACACAATTTAATAATACAAGGAACAATAGCCAAAGTGTAGCATTTCTCAGCAGCTTATCACACATTAAGATTCATAGACATTGGTAGTGGGCTAGTTTAGCATTCAACGCACTTATCTCTACACACATTGCATATGATTTAATGGTTAGAGATGAGTGGTTTTTCATCCCAGCCCTCATAAGTCACAGATCAAGTATAAATAGGAATTTCTTGTTCCCACATTGCCTATATAAGGATTCTATCTCTGAAGTATGTGAACAGTGAAATTGAAAGATAGGATAAGAAAGAAATCTGTGTCAGCATTCTTTACCTTTCTAATGTCATCTAGCTGAGCCTTGAGGGCTGTAACCTGCTCTTGGTATGTGTCAGTCTCGCTGCTGGTGCTGGTCTCTGCCTCGGCGATCTGAGTCTCCAGCTGAATGTTCTGTAAAAAAAGAAAAGAAGCTTTGATAAAGCCACCTCGGTCATCCTGTTACTAGGAAAAAATTATGCTGACTGAATTATGACAAAGTGGCAACTTTTATGAGTTTTTCTTTTTGCATTCAAGAACATAAGGAATACCAAGTCACTGCAACTACCCCAAATAAAGAAACAGTAAAAAGTGAATGTAAAAAAATCTATCCGTATTGTGAGTATGCAGAAAGGCTGTAAAGGTCGGTAAAATAAAGCTATAACATTTTATTTTTTTAATAAAATTCATAAACTATTTTGATATTCTCAAACATTTGTCATATAAATGAATACTTACCAAGGTCTTAATCCTTTCTATTTCACGTTGAACTGAGTCAACCTGCAGCTTCAACGACCTGTACTCCTCCTTGAATGATGTGATGTCAGGGCTTGTACAGATGGTTGTGTGGAGCCAGAAGCCAGAACAATCTGTGCAGATGACAAAAAAGGTTAGACGTGAAGGATTCTGCTTAACATGGTAATGCGACAAGACTAAAAATACTGCACACAGTACATTTAAAGCCAAACATGTTTGAAATTGTTGCAAGCCTCAGACATTTATGTCCACTTCCTCATTGGTCTACTATAAGCATCGGTCACATCTGATGAATTTTCCTTAAGTTAAAAAAATGGTGACTGGGGAGGCACAGCCTGTGACTGACAGCATCAGCTCTGTTCCTGTATGCGGTGTAAAGGGGGTGTATCCCTTCCCTCCAATCAGCTCTCTGAGCTTTTCTCACTGATGTAGCTTTAGCCCCCCCACCCCTTGCTTTTCAGAGCTGGGAGATCCTATGTAAATTCTGCACTTTAAATGGATGTAGGGAACAGATGGCTGTAGATAAACAGCTGCAATTTTATTACTATTATTTGTTATTTAGGAGGATTTATTTCACCTCTGTGTATCACCTGAGACCTGTAACTTCACTGAGTATATTCAAGGGTTTACAATAACTTTAACTAGAGAGGAAGTGTTAAAGCTCCTGCCAGGTTTTGATTACTATGTGTGAATCACCCACACTTTTTATCCTGGTGACCACTGTATCCAACACATAAAGAGATGGAGAATCCAAAATAGTTTCAGTGACAATTGACTAAGAGGAGATTTCTCATTACATTAAAGAGAATTTCTCTTGTGTCACAAGGACAAGGAATGAAGCAAAAGCTTACCAATAGGGCATATAAAGCAATAAAAAACCTTTCAAGGGACCTAATAATTCCCAAATGTATCCAATATATTAGTATTTGGCTTTTACTACACTATATGTCCTATTTACACCATTGCACTGCAGTATGCTGTGCTAGAGAAAATGCTATAGGAGCAATGTTTGGTCTGTTCTGGTGCATTAGGCAGCCCATTCAAATTAATGAGCTGCATTAACACACCATACCTTAATTACCAATGTTTGGTATTAAAGGATCGTTAAAGAGGTTCTTCACTCTAGAAAAAAAATAAAAGTAAAGTCAGCAGCTACAAATCCTGTAGCTGCTGACTTGAACACTCACCTGACCAGGGATCCAGTACTGCCTCACCTGGGCTAGTTCTTCACTAGCTTTTGGGTTCCCAGTGCTAGCATCTTAACTGTGGGCAGACGGCTGTGCTGCTTGCAGCCTTTTGGGTGAAGTTCCGCTTTAGCATTGAGCAGAATAGATAAAAAAGGCCTCCTTAGCAGACAAAATGATTTCTATCATTATGATATGACTTCACTCGCCTACAGAAATCAATCAAGTATCATCTTTTAAATGAGTCAAGGACTCTGGTTCCTGTGGGTAAGTGCTTTAGTTTTCTAGGCCTGTGTTGATAAACAGTTCATAAAAAAAAAAGCAGTTGGAAAAGCTTCCCACTGTTGATTACAAGGGGACTCGAGAGCTGTGTACTAATACAATCAGAAATCAGATTAGAAGAAGAAATTGACAGCAGTTGTTTAGATTATTTTTACAGGTATCTGCTAAGGTCACCTTGCTCTCAGCTGCTGCGAATGCCTCGTGTTTGGTCTTCTGGACGAGTACTTCATACTGTAATTTCATATCAGAGATGGCTGATGTCAGGTCCACGGCTTGAGCATAGTTGTCAAATGAAATGGAAATGGCTGCTTTGGTACCACTTGTAATGATGGTCTGAACTTCTCTTACTTTCTGTATACAGAAGAACAAGATATATCATTTACCATGTGTTGCAGTCCTCTAAAGCCATAGAAATTAGGTCAAAATTCTTGCAATTACTAATCCCCTTAGTAAATATGGAACAGAAGATAGAATTAAGAGGTTATATACATTCTGTTCTGTGCAGAGGATGCTCCTGATTTGAGCATGGATCTCAGTGATCATATGATGGTTGGGGTTCCCTAGAGGGTGATAACCAGAACTTCTAAAAGTGCTCTTCATCACACATACAGTTGTTGGACATATGCTAATTTTAAAGTATTGGGTAAATAAGATTGTAAAATGGAATTTAAGTCTTCAAAATATGTTTTTGTTCATTATACTTTGGATCTCAATGCCTTCATTTAACCTCTTTCCAGTTGAAAAAAAAAAAAAAAAACTTTTCCTCTGTTCTGCATTGTAGTTCTAGGGTTAGGTCCCTGTTAGATGTGCATGGCCAAACAATTCTGATTCTGGCATCTCTGAGATGCTGCACTGAAGAGTTCTCAGTGCTGGGGTAATAAACTAAGTCACTTATCTGGCATTCAGACACAATTTCACAAAATCTGATTTTTAAGATGGCAGCATGACCAGTGGCTTTGATTTTACATTGTGGTATAAATCCAGACAAAATGATTATTTTATCTACCAGGTGCATGGCTTATTTGTCTGGGGATCATTTCCATTTCCCATTTTCCATGGTGTTGAGTGACCTGTACTTACAGCATCATAGACTTGTTTGGAAAGAGTAATTTGATCCTCTACTCCAGTGAGTTTGGTCTGAAGGTCGAAGATGGTCAGGTACAAGTGATCGATATCCTGAAAGAAAGAATTGGAAAAGTTATTAAGGTTATGCTGACAAATATTGTATCTGCTGCAAATATTGAGAAGCCCCCCTGGTCAATTCCTGTAGAAAATGATGAATACAAATAATGGAACTTCTGTATGTAATGTACGCATTATATGCTCCTTAGTAAATATTTATTTATTTCAGGTACTTATATAGCGCCGTCAATTTACACAGCGCTTTACATATATATTGTACATTCACATCAGTCCCTAACCCTCAGGGGGCGTACAATCTAAAGTCCCTAACTTACATTCATACATACACACTAGGGACAATTTAGACAGGAGCCAATTAACCTAACAGCATGTCTTTGGAGTGTGGGAGGAAACCGGAGCACCCAAAGAAAACCCATGCAGGCACAGGGAGAACATGCAAACTCCAGGCAGGAGGTGCCATGGCTGGGATTCGAACCAACGATGCTAGTACTGCCAGGCGGAAGTGCTAACCATTTAGCCAGTGTGAAGTACACACTCTACAAAAGCTGCAAAATGAGGGTGGGAATAAAACATCTTTTTAGAATACATAAAATACATAATATAAATATTACAAACAATCAATACAAGGAACCCAGACCACTAAGGGTTAGCTAAAGAAACAGCACAAAGGAGCAGTTTGCTTTGAGGTTCTCTCTCATTGAAACCTAGAACGTAAGTTCTCTGACAATGGATGAGTCAAAGCTTTGATGACTCAATGAGGATAATTTATTAACACAGTAAAAGGCTTTGTTAACTAGGCTTAGTGAATTACGTAAAAGCTGAGTTCAATTTGAATAAGCAATCATCTGTAAACAAAACTGGGAAAAAAAAAGATTTTCTTGCACCTGATTGGATTATTATCTCTACCCCTTTATCAAAGGACATGCTTTGCTTCACCTGTAAAGCTAAACTAAATGTTGGCTGGATCCAAGGCTACATAATATTAATATGCAATATTTCATATTTTTTTGAATTTGAAACATGTATTTTTTTAACACTTTTTTGTAGCCCGACTATATAATAGAAAAAGTAATACTATACATGCTCCAGCATGACATGTACAGCTTACTAACAGAAACCAATACTGGTGGAGAATTAAATAATTAAATATATATCTCTACACATATGAGTGGATTTGTGTTTCTGTCCATACAGTCCTGAGAATTACACAGCACCACCCTGTCTGACAGTGCAGGAGATTTGATTTTTTTTTCTTCATTTAATAATGTATCAATAAATGCTGCATTAAAAGTGAACTTTGAGATAAAAAAAAATAGTCTCCCCACATCAAGAGGTAATTGCTCGTTAAGTCTAGAGGTAGAGGAATAAGCTGTAATACTTACCTTATTGCTTGTTCTGGCAGAATCCAGATCTCTCCTCTTCTTTTCGATGTTCCAGGTTGTGGGCAGACCCTTGCTATCCTCACATACACTGGGGCAAAAAAGTATTTAGTCAGCCACCAATTGTGCAAGTTCTCCCACTTAAAAAGATGAGAGAGGCCTGTAATTGGCATCATAGGTAGACCTCAACTATGAGAGACAAAATGAGAACAAAAATCCAGACAATCACATTGGCTGATTTGGAATGAATTTATTTGCAAATTATGGTGGAAAATAAGTATTTGGTCACCTACAAACAAGCAAGATTTCTGGCTCTCACAGACCTGTACCTTCTTCTTTAAGAGGTTCCTCTGTTCTGCACTCATTACTTGCATCAATGGCACCTGTTTGAACTTGTTATCAGTATAAAAGACACCTGTCCACAACCTCAAACAGTCACACTCCAAACTCCACTATGGTGAAGACCAAAGAGCTGTCGAAGGTCACCAGAAACAAAATTGTAGACCTGCACCAGGCTGGGAAGACTGAATCTGCAATAGGCAAGCAGCTTGGTGTGAACAAATCAACTGTGGGAGCAATAATTAGAAAATGGGAGACATACAAGACCACTGATAATCTCCCTTGATCTGGGGCTCCACGCAAGATCTCACATCGTGGGATCAAAATGATCACAAGAACGGTGAGCAAAAATCCCAGGACCACACGGGGGACCTAGTGAATGACCTGCAGAGAGCTGGGACCAACGTAACAAAGGCTACCATCAGTAACACACTACGCCGCCAGGGACTCAGATCCTGCAGTGCCAGACGTGTCCCCCTGCTTAAGCCAGTACATGTCCGGGCCGGTCTGAAGTTTGCTAGAGAGCATCTGGATGATCCAGAAGAGGACTGGGAGAATGTCATATGGTCAGATGAAACCAAAATAGAACTGTTTGGTAGAAACACAACTCGTCGTGTTTGGAGGAGAGAGAATGCTGAGTTGCATCCAAAGAACACCATACCTACTGTGAAGCATTGGGGTGGCAACATCATGCTTTGGGGCTGTTTCTCCGCAAAGGGACCAGGACGACTGATCCATGTACATGACAGAATGAATGGGGCCATGTATCGTGAGATTTTGAGTGCAAACCTTCTTCCATCAGCAAGGGCATTGAAGATGAAACGTGGCTGGGTCTTCCAACATGACAATGATCCCAAACATACTGCCCGGGCAATGAAGGAGTGGCTTCGTAAGAAGCATTTCAAGGTCCTGGAGTGGCCTAGCCAGTCTCCAGATCTCAACCCCATAGAAAACCTTTGGAGGGAGTTGAAAGTCCATGTTGCCCAGCGACAGCCACAAAACATCACTGCTCTAGAGGAGATCTGCATGGAGGAATGGGCCAACATACCAGCAACAGTGTGTACCAACCTTGTGAAGACTTACAGGAAACGTTTGACCTCTGTCATTGCCAACAAAGGATATATAACAAAGTATTGAGACGAACTTTTCATATTGACCAAATACTTATTTTCCACCATAATTTGCAAATAAATTCTTTCCAAATCAGCCAATGTGATTGTCTGGATTTTTTTTTTCTCATTTTGTCTCTCATAGTTGAGGTCTACCTATGATGCCAATTACAGGCCTCTCTCATCTTTTTAAGTGGGAGAACTTGCACAATTGGTGGCTGACCAAAAACTTTTTTGCCCCACTGTACAATGCAGAACTGCTAGTCTGCTATGATGGTGTCAGGGTGCAACCACTTGACGGAGCACCGAAGCGAACCGGCTTCAGAGCAGCAGTCAAACAGTGTGGTTGAAGCATGCTGGAGTGAAGAATAAAGTAAGTATTATCCCTAGATATAACAAGCATTTACCCATTGCAGTGAAGGCCCCTCTTCAAAGATATTTTTTTCTCCACCGCCCCTAGTGGGGCCTTAAATTGTGTTGTTTATATCTAACTGGTGTTCAACTTTAAAGATCAATAAAAGTGAAGACTTTGCTTGTGGAGTGGAAGGGTAATTTTTTCTCCACTGCCCCTTGTGGGGCCTTACATTGTGTCTTTTATATCTATATGGAGTTCAACTTTAAAGATCAATAAAGGTGCAGACTTTACTGGTGAGGTGGAAAGAGTTGGAATGCATTCTATACATAACATTTGGCTAAGTGCCCAAATTCTCCTGACTACAGCATGGACACTCTGGAGATTTACCCATAAACTACTGCAAGACTAACACCTTTTTCTTTTAACACTGATACTGACCTCTTTGAGTGTGGTCCATTCTGCCTCCAGGGTCTTTGTGACTGAACTGTCCTCATCGTACCTAAAGGCAAACATGGTAGAGCACATTAGTGCTTACTGATGAGCATAGAGCTGTGGTTATTACATAATACATCTTATTATCAACACATAGACTGGTTTCACAGCTACTCACTCCCTTAGATTTGAAAAAGAGTGCAGCTGTCATAAATTAACTGCTGCAATGTATTGCATTGTACTCAAATTTCAAGGCATTAATGTAAACTGGCAGAGAGTTAAACACTCAAAAATATCAAACTCAGCAAAACTGAAAATTCTGCTAAAATATGGCACTTCTTACTTTGTAATGAATTACGTTTTCAATAGCTGCTTTTTATATAAGACATTACAGGTGGAATAAACCTCATAATGAACCTCCAAAAACCCAGGAATCCTATACGACGTTTGACAGTGGACCAAAGTTCATCAAGCTACTGACAAAATAATTAAAGTAGAAATTGTCTCCCATTATCTGAAAATACATCTACAATACAGTTTGCTCTTTCCCTTTACATGCAAAGTCTCCAAAATTCATGTCAATTTTGCCAGTAATTTCCACCTCATGCAGAGTTCTGGGATGGAATGACAATGCTAATGCACTGCTTCTGAATTCAGAGCAGCGTTGTCAACCTCATGTAGGCTCCTGCTTGTACTGCAGTTGGATGACAAGTTGTGGCAGGGGGTGTGGCTATCAGGATTGTCACTGCTGATTTAAAAGTCTGTATCTTGTCAATCATCAATTGGCCACACCTATTCCTGTCACTGCTTTCTGAGGTGGTAGCACTGCTTCTCCTGCCAACGTGAGCTGCAGTGTCTCGGAGGGAAAGCATGTGAAACACAAATGAAAGAAGATTTGGCTCACAATGGAGTTGAAGGAAGTGTTTACATGTAATTTATAGTATTTTAATATGGGACTCATTCCAAGTGTCACACAGAAGCCATTAGATGCACTAAGTGATGTTTAGGGAGAAATAGTAAGTTTCCGAAGTTGTCATAGTGCACCTATTAGACTGGATGAAGGGAGATTATCCTAAAAACTACCAAAGTTTCTGATTATATGAACACCTCAGTAACTAAAGGCAAATGCTTACATAATTGATATTTGTGATTATATTTGATATATGACACCCACAAGACACTCACTTGACTTGGATATCACCAATCACTTGCTTGTAGTGATCAATTTCTGCCAAAAGTGCTGTTTTGGTTTGAGTTAGGGTGTCAATCTGGGCTTTGTAGCCAGCTACAGCAGTGGTGGTAACAACGGTGGCATTGGCTGGTCCACTTGGGTCACTTCGGTTGTAGAGGTTGATCTGAGCTTTGAGTATGGTGTTCTGCTGTTCCAAACTGCGGACCTGAAGAGCACATAAAAGCAGACTCACATTATTCTAATACAGTGGTTCTTAACCTGGGTTCGATCGAACCCCAGGGGTTCAGTGAGTCAGTCTCGCAGGTTCGGCAGAGGTGAAGACCCACACCCGACTCATATGATTCGTGCAGTAAATATTCATTATTATGTTTTTGTTTTTGTGTGAAAATCATGTTTTAATGGTTTTGTTCTTTGTTCTTAACGGTTTTGTTCATTTTGTGCACCTATGTATAAATATATACCTATGTTTTGAATTTTAAAAATCATATTTTATTTTTCCAATTAAGAAGGGTTCGGTGAATGCGCATATGAAACTGGTGGGGTTCAGTACCTCCAACAAGGTTAAGAACCACTGTTCTAATAGATAACATGTATTGATCACCAGTAAACTGTGCTATATTTAAAATCATTCAAGTTCCCAGGGTTGATCTGAAAATGCTGGCAAGTTTCATGATAGAAGGTGATACACATTTTACAGTAAGGGAACATGGATTCCAGTGCTCCAAAGACATACCGTATTTGCCGGCGTATAAGACGACTTTTTACCCCTTGAAAATCTTCTCAAAAGTCGGGGGTCGTCTTATACGCCGGTATACGGCATACTGACACTTTTTAGGGGGGCGGCGCGTTGCCGCCGCCGCCCCCCCTTCCCCCAATGGAAGGGACACTAAGTACAGGGGTGGGCAGCGGCTGTTTCTTACCTGGTTCCGGTCCCACGACGATCCGGTCCAGAAAGCGCGGCTGCGCCTTCAGTTCGGCCACTGGATGTTCGTGCGGCTGCTCGGCTCCGCCTCCTCACCAGTGATTGGCCGCCAGAACTGTAGCTCAGGAAAGGCACACAGGCGGCCAATCACCGGCGAGGGGGTGGAGCCGAGCGGCCCCCCCCGCGAAAATCGAGTGCAGGACCAGCAGGTAAGTGGTCAGTGTAGAGGTGCTGCTGCAACCACATATGCTGGCTACAGCAGCACCATACGAGAACAGGGTCAGCAAGTGTCAGTGGGAGGAATAGTGCCCCATCATTGGTGTCACTGATACCAATGATGGAGCACTATTCCTCCCACTGATACCAATGATGGGGCACTATTCCTCCCACTGACACCAACGATGGGGCACTATTCTTCCCACTGATACCAATGATGTGGCACTATTCCTCCCACTGACACCAACGATGGGGCACTATTCCTCCCCCCCACTGACACCAACGATGGGGCACTATTCCTCCCCCCCACTGACACCAACGATGGGGCACTATTCCTCCCCCCCACTGACATCAACGATGGGGCACTATTCCCCCCCCCCCCACTGACACCAATGATGGGGCACTATTCCACCCCCCACTGACACCAATGATGGGACACCATTCCTCCCACTGACACCAATGTTGGGACACCATTCCTCCCACTGACACCAATGATGGGGCACTATTCCCCCCACTGATACCAATGATGGGGCACTATTCCCCCCACTGATACTAATGATGGGGCACTATTCCTGCCACTGATACCAATGATGGGGCACTATTCCCCCCACTGATACTAATGATGGGGCACTATTCCTCCCACTGACACCAATGATGGGGCACTATTCCTCCCACTGATACTAATGATGGGGCACTATTCCTGCCACTAATGCCAATGATGGGGCACTATTCCTGCCACTGATACCAATGATGGGGCACTATTCCTGCCACTGATACCAATGATGGGGCACTATTCCTCCCACTGATACCAATGATGGGGCACTATTCCTGCCACTGATACCAATGATGGGGCACTATTCCTGCCACCGATACCAATGATGGGGCACTATTCCTGCTACTGGTGTGCATTGGAAGAGGGGTAGTCTTATACGGCGAGTATAGCTCAAACACTAAATTTTAGCAGGAAAAGTAGGGGGGTCGTCTTATACGCCCAGTCGTCTTATACGCCGGCAAATACGGTAATCTGCTGAATATTGGTACAGATATTTCTACTTCCTTGTGCATATGAAGTAAATGCTTATTTTTCTGGAAGTATAATGTGCACCCTTAGACACATCTAACTGTGACTGCTGCTGTAGTTTATTATTATATTAATATGTACAATAACAGAAATTAGGATTAACAATGTTTGACAATGATAACCTAAACTACAGCAACATTTTAATTACATCAATCCAAAATGACATTAATGTAGATGCTACTGGATTAACTTTTATGGGCTACCAGCATCTTTCTACCATATCATTCATTAGCATAATCAATATTTAGGAGTTGGTTTGATATAGGCTGCAGCATTCTCTGTACCATAGTAATACTGTATGAAAACATGTAAAAATGTAATTACATTGCTGTGTAAAGTCTGTTTTGGAATGCTAATTTACCTGTCTTTTAAAGAAACACAATATACTATGTGCATCATTAAAAAAAACAAGCAAACTACACATCACAAAATGTTACGGAACATGTAAAATGTCAAATAAAATAGGTAAATGGGAGCAACAATGACATTACTTGCTGCATGTGATGAAACCTGATTGATTGCTATAGATACATATTCTGTTACAACTACTGTATTCTACAACACTTTGTTTTTGCTCTACTTTTTGTAAATCAGCCCCTGTAATTGTGTTTCTGTTAGTATGTAGTAGAATGTTGTATAGCTGTATGTGTTATAGAATGTAATATTTAAGAAATAGGGGCTATGCTTTACAACATGTCAGAAGTGATTTAGGATGGGGGGTGGGACTGACCCACTAGATTATGTGGGATTCCCTGAGACAAATCTTTCACACACAGTACTTATGTTCTGTGGCCATGAATCTGGTGTCAGCCCTTGTGCAGACCCACTATAGTGAGCGCATTGTTAAAATTGTTGCAGAGATAAGAACAACACTGTTGCCCTATCCTCCTATCTCTGATCCTGGTCACAAAGTTAGGGCTTGATTTATATCTAGACCGTCAAATAAGTCATGCCAAACTGGAGAGGGTCAATCTATTATGCTGAACTGTAAAAATCAGTTTACTGAGAAATATCTAATTGAAGCATAGCATTGTGCACTGCTGTATAGACTAACTTTTTTCAACATTTTTACCCCAGAGTAACCCTAGAAATGATATTTAGTTCACGGAAGCCCTTACTAAATCCAGTTCTTTGGGGGTCAATGGGAAAATTGCCTTCCTCACAGTGGAGGTCAGATTGCCACCCCTACAGAGATCTAAACAGATCAATGGTGTCCTGCAACTGGTGTTGCCAAGTGGTGATGGTCTTGGAACTATGCAGACATCATCAAATGGAAGATCCATCAGCCACAGCTCAAGCAACCCATAGGAACCCTCGGAGGAACCCTTTGGGTTCCATGAAACCTTGGTTGGGAATGACTGGTATAGACTGAAAAGCTATAATAAAGGGTGAGAGAGTTAGGTTTTCACCAGATCGGTCAAATCTGTGGTCGCTTCATACACCCAGCCAATGGGAAAATTTAGGCTTTTTTCAACTTTATCTGGGTGCTAACTGAAAACAAACATTTACTAGACTGTTGCAAAATACATTACTTTAGATATGATACAATATTTACTAAGTTGTTTTATATCTTTTACAATATCACCCCATGGAGTTTCACCATGTCTTATACATAGCTTATAAACAATACCTTCCTTCATATTATGTGAATGAGATATTTATAGGTCCATTTCCTATAACTATCTCATAAAATATATCCCATATAAAAATAGTTATGTGAAACATGCAATTGTAACTCTAACAGACTTTTACATAGACAAGCAGTACTGAAATGAATTACAAAGAAACCTGTACAACATGAAGTAAATGGCAATGGTTCAAAGAACAATATGCACTGTTTTCCATAACATGATTTCACAGGTCAGATCTATTAATTTAAAACTATAAGACTTTTGATAGCTAATCATTAATGAATTAACTGACCCATAGACTTATTGACCATGGATCAAAGCACCCTTGTAAATAGTAAACTATAACAGCCAATCAGACAACAGTTTAGTGTTGTCGGGCTACTGAAGGCTGATCTGTAATTGCTTGCTATAAATTATTGCAGGTCAGCACTCTTTGATACATCTAATTAAATAGGGTCCATGCACACTGGCTTAAAAAAAACAATGCTGCTCATAAAGGGAGTTTAGTGTTTTGCATGTAGAAGCATCTAATGTTGTCCTATGTGTCCATGCACATTAGGTAGTCTAGAGGCACATTTTAAGCTCAGAGTTCAGACCTTTTTTGAGAGCGTTTTTTTGGCAGAAAAAAAAGTGCGCCTAAATGCTAGCACAAAAAAATTTGCGTTTTTCTCTCTGCCAAGAGCACTGGTATTTTTTTTAAAGGATCGTCTTTTATAACATGTAACATGTTACACCCATATTCAAGGTGTAACATGTGACGTGTTACAAAAGGACTGCCCCGGCTCCCCTGATCCTCTGTTTTCACAGCTAGTGTGGGACTTTCTCTGAATGAGAAAACTACAAGTTCTGACAACCTTTGCAGTTGTTGGCTTGTAGTTCTCATTGAACTACCACAGCGCTGTTGAGTGCTGTGGTAGTTCATGAAGTCTTCCTGTCAGTGTGCACCTGCTTGTGTACCAGGTACAAGCACACAGATATACTGACAGGTCTGCAGGAGCCCTGTATGGCACAAGCAATCTGCTGATTGCAGGTGCAATGCTTTCCATGCTCCCAAAACAAAAAATAGTAAATGTACATGTTTTTACCTACAAAAAAAATTAAGTATTTATTATTTTTTGTTAAACGATGAACTTATCCTTTAAGCCAGTGTAGATGGACCCTAAACTTACAGTCACACCTCAATCAAACATAGATGAGAGGCCATTTTTCAGTCCAGCATTGGGTGAGATCCAAGCAGGCAGAGTACCTTGTCAATGAACTGGGCGAACTTGTTGTTCAGGTTCTGGAGTTCCTCCTTCTCCTTCTGACGGGTGACTTGGACAGTGTCCACAGAAGGCAGAGATGGGTCGATGGATGGCATGTCAGAAACGCTTGGGCCAGCTCCTAGACCCCCAATTCCTCCAATTCCCCCAAGCCCCCCCATTCCTGGTCTTCCACCACCAAACATGAATGAAGGGCTGGAGCCATAGCTACCAACCTTGAAGCCTCTCCCGCCTATGCGGCCCCTAAGCAGCCCAGAAGCTCCTCCAAGCCTTCCTCCTGCCCCACCAATTCCTCCTCCCATGCCTGCCCCTAAGGAGAAGCCTGATGCGGAGCCAAAGCCTTGCCCCACCCCCAAAACCAAATCTCAGCCCTCCGGCATAGCTTGCTCTGAGCCCAGCTCCTCCACCAGCTGCAGCTCCCAACCCGAACGCCCTGGACATGCCCAGGCCACCTCCCAGGCCCCCACCTAGTCCTAGCACTGGTGACCTAAAGCTCTTGATCCCGCCGAACACTCGGTTGCTGCCGTACGAGCCTCCGAAGCGCACAGCCGCGCCGCTGATTTTCATTTGCTTTTCCACCGTCATCCTGAGAGCTTAATGGATCCGAGATTGACACCGTCCAGAGCGAAGTCTCAGCCTAGGCAGCCGCCACTTATATATGTCAATGGGGTGTCCGGGGCAGACGCACAAACTCCGCTCCCCATTGGGCGAGCAGACACTTTAAGACGAATCATCAAAATTCCCGGAGCTGGAATCAAACTCTACAATCAGCGAGCGGAGCTGGCCTCGGGCAGGAGCGATCAAGCGCAAGACAAGGGGTAGCAAGCCGCTGAAAGAATGAAGAAAATGTCAACGTCTAAATTTAAGCTCTTTGCCAAGGGCTAGCGTTGCCTTCCACCTGCTCCAGGCTGGAGATGGCTGTTGGAACTTGTAGCTCTCATAGTCAGAGGATCATCATTCTTACAGGGACATTCAGCCATGTACATGGGATATACTGTACACCTATCCACTGGAAATGCTGCCACGTCAGTAATATTCTCAGAGACATGGCTCAGCAATGTTACAGTAGCCTAGGATTCCTGGGACCCCTCTATTGTCAACCTCTGCAACGGATAGGTCATATTCTTAAAGCAGACCTCCAACCAAAAGGGGACATTCCCCTTCAAGGACGTAAAGGGGAATGTCCCATTTTGGTTGGAACTCTGACTTTAAAGCGGAGCTCTAAGGTCATATTGTTAGAGCTCCACTTTAAGAATATGAGCTATAAGTGGAGCTCTTACGTCCTTAAAGGGGAATGTCCCCTTTTGGTTGGAGCTCTGCTTTAAGAATATGACCTAAAAGTTGCAGAGGTTGACAATAGAGGGGTCCCAGGAATCCTAGGCTACTGTAACATTGCTGAGCCCTCTATTGTCAACGTCTGCAACTTTTAGGTCATATTCTTAAAGCGGAGCTCTAACAATATGACCTTAGAGCTCCGCTTTAAGGTCGGAGTTCCAACCAAAATGGGACGTTCCCCTTTAAGTCCTTAAATGGGAACGTCCCCTTTTGGTTGGAGCTCTGCTTTAAGAATATGACCTAAAAGTTGCAGAGGTTGACAATAGAGGGGTCCCAGGAATCCTATGCTACTATAACATTGCTGAGCCCTCTATTGTCAACCTCTGCAACTTTTAGGTCATATTCTTAAAGCAGAGCTCTAAGAATATTACCTTAGAGCTCCACTTGAAGGTCAGAGTTCCAACCAAAAGGGGACTTTCCCTTTTGGTTGGAGCTCTGCTTTAAGAATATGACCTAAAAGTTGCAGAGGTTGGCAATAGAGGGGTCCCAGGAATCCTAGGCTACTATAACATTGCTGAGCCCTCTATTGTCAACCTCTGCAACTTTTAAGTCATATTCTTAAAGCGGAGCTCCAATCAAACAATCAAAAGGGGGCATTCTCCTTTAAGGACTTAAAGGGGAACGTCCCCTTTTGGTTGGAACTCTGACCTTAAAGCGGAGCTCTAAGGTCATATTGTTAGAGCTCCACTTTAAGAATATGACCTATAAGCAGAGCTCTAACAATATGACCTTAGAGCTCCGCTTTAAGGTCAGAGTTCCAACCAAAATGGGACATTCCCCTTTAAGTCCTTAAAGGGGAATGTCCCCTTTTGGTTGGAGCTCTGCTTTAAGAATATGACCTAAAAGTTGCAGAGGTTGACAATAGAGGGGTCCAGGAATCCTAGGCTACTGTAACATCGCTGAGCCCTCTATTGTCAACCTCTGCAACTTTTAAGTCATAGTCTTAAAGCGAAGCTCCAATCAAAAGGGGACATTCTCCTTTAAGGACTTAAAGGGGAACGTCCCCTTTTGGTTGGAACTCTGACCTTAAAGCAGAGCTCTAAGGTCATATTGTTAGAGCTCTACTTTAAGAATATGACCTAAAAGTTGCAGAGGGGTCCCAGGAATCCTAGGCTACTGTAACATTGCTTAGCCATAAATCTGAGAATATTACTGACATGGCAGCATTTCCAGTGGATAGATGTATATCCCTGGCTCCCCGTTAACCACTTGCCCTCTAGAGGATTTACCCCCCTCACTTTTTCTGACCAGGCCATTGTGTGCGTTACAGCGTTGCGTTACTTTGACATTTGTGCGGTCATGCAGCGCTGCACCCAAATGAAATTTACATCCTTTTTTTCCCACAAATTGAGCTTTCTTGCAGTGGTATTTGATTACCACTGCATTTTTTATTTTTTGTGCTATAAAAAATACTGACAATTTTGAAAAAAAACTATATTTTTGACTTTTTGCTATACAACTTATCCAGTAAAAAAAAAATTAAAAATCAAATTTCGTTAATTTAGGCCAAAATGTATTCTGTTACATGTCTTTGCTAAAAAAAAATCCCAATACGTGTAAATTAATTGGTTTCCATGAAAGTTATAGCATCTACAAATGGCGGTATATATACTGGAATTTTTATTTTAATTTTTTTTATACTAGTAATGGCGGCAATCAGCCACTTATAATGAGACTGCAGGACTGCAGCAGGAATTCTGATACTAGGGAGGGACTGACTAACTGCCACTGACATCCCCCCTGACACTAATACAGTGATCAGTGCTAAGAAAAAGGAAGTGGACAGGAAGTGGTTACCATCTGGGGATATCAAAGGGTTAACTGTGTACTGTTTTCCTGTGTGCGTATGCTTTACTGTATAATCACACTGCTTTGTATTGCTGTGCTATGCAGATCAAAAGAAAGCAACATGTTGGTGCTGACAGAGGAGAGATCTGTATTGTTTACATACAGACCTCTCCTCTGTCACTATTCCTCAGCGATCGCCGGGTGCTGGCGGGAAATCTCCAGACAGGACCCACTGATTGACATATATATATATATATATATATATATATATATACACACACACACACACACACACGATTTTGTGCAGCCCTGCTGCCCTGTAGCAGTACTTCTGCTATAGGGTGGTCAGGAAGTAGTTAAGGATTAGCACTTTTGGGGAGCAGGTACTTGAAATTGACAGGTACCCATTCCCACTCCTGTTGCGATCACCTAGGCAGTCGGAGATAATAGTTGCCCCTTCCCTCCCCGTAGTCTCCTGGGATATGTGACAGGTCCCAGAAGACTACAGGACCATTCATTTGTGCATGCGCAGTGGGCACCCAGCTTTGAAACCGCAAGCTGTCACAGCTGGGTGCCCACACTGAAGATGCACCGGGAACACAGGGCATCCTTTGAAACGGGCTGCAGGGAGGACACTATGGGATTGAGGGACAGGTAAGTGGCTTTTTTTTTTTTAAAGTCAGCAGCTACAGTTTTTGTAGCTACTGACTTTTATTTTTTTACATTTTCATTAGAACTTTGCTTTAAAGTACACTATATTGCCAAAAGCATTGGGACGTCCGCCCTTACATGCAAATGAACTTTAATGGCATCCAAGTCTTAGTCCATAGGTTTCAATATTGAGTTGGCCCACCCTTTGCAGCTATGACAGCTTCAACTCTTCTGGGAAGGCTGTCCACAAGGTTTAGGAGTGTGTCTATGGGAATGTTTGACCATTCTTCCAGAAGTGCATCTGTGAGGTCAGACACTGATGTGCATTACACTTGATTATGTAAGACCACATGAAGTTTGGAGGTCTTTAGATACTGACTCTACAGACATTTGCACTGTGCGCTTCAGCATGCACTGACTTTGCTCTGTCATTTTACTTGGCCTACCACTTTGTGGCTGAGTTGCTGTTGTTCCCAGTTGCTTCCACTTTGTTATAGTACCACCAGCAGTTGTCTTGGTCTGCTGATGCCTTAAGAAGTCTCTTCACTGGAACTAAGGGGCCAAGCCCAACCCCTGAAAAACAACCCCACACCATAATCCCCCTCCACCAAACTTTACACTTGGCACAGTGCCGTCAGGCAAGTACTGTTCTCCTGGTAATCACCACACCCAGACACATCCACTGGATTGCCAGACAGAGAAGTGTGATTTGTCACTCCAGAGAACACGTCTTCACTGCTCTAGAGTCCAGTGGCGGTGTGCTTTACACCACTGCATCCAACGCTTTGCATTGCACTTGGTGATGTAAGGCTTGGATGAGCTGCTCGGCCATGGAAACCCATTCCATTGAGATCTCTACGCATTGTTGTGCTAATCTGAAGGCCACACGAAGTTTGGAGGTCTTTAGCTATTGATCCTGCAGTCAGTTGGCACACTGTGCGCTTCAGCATGTAATGACCCCGCTCTGTCATATTATATGGCCTACCACTTCATGGCTGAGTTGCTGTTGTTCCCAATTGCTTCCACTTCGTTATAATACCACTAACAGTTGACCGTGGAATATTTAGTAACAAGGAAATTTCACAGATGGACTTATTGTACAGGTGTCAACCTATCACGGTACCACGCTTGTATTCACAGAGCTCCTTAGAGTGACTATTCACAGAGCTCCTTAGAGTGACTCATTCACAGAGCTCCTTAGAGTTACTTCTTCTACAAATGTTTGTAGAAGCAGTCTGCATGCCTAGGTGCTTGATTTTATACACCTGTGGCCATGGAGGTGATTAGAACACCTGAATCAAATGATTTGGAAGGGTATACCAAT